TGTGTGTGTGTGTCTGTCTGTGTCTCTCTCTCTCTCTCTCTCTCGCGCGCGCGCCCTCGCTCGCTCGCTCGCTGGGGTATTTTTCTACCGTGTCCGTTTCTCTCTCTCTCTCTCGCGCGCGCGCGCCCTCGCTCGCTAGCAGGGGTGTTTTTCTTCCGTGTCCGTGCGGCTCCGAGATTTATCAAAACTCAGGGGTGCAGTCAAGAAATGGAAGGCTAATTTTTTTTTTGACTGCTTTTGTTATTTGCTTTTCATTTATGATTGCCTGAAAAAGCGAGAGCCTACCTGTTGATGCCAAACCTCAACCGGGGTTAAGATGTATGATCACTTAGGAGGCTTAACCCTCTTCCACAGGCTGCAGAGTCACCTACCCGGTGGAAATTCCACAGTAGGCTTAACCCAGGGTTGCCACTATCATCGGGTAGGGGACTCTGCAGACTGTGGAAGAGGGTTAAGCGCCCCTCGGGAAGATGACGCAGTCGGTGAAACTCCGACGAAACAGTCTGCAGTCTGTCACCGCCCCTCGTCTGTTGTTGTCTTCTCCCTCTTAGCCTGCGGTGCGGTTCACCGGGGCCGAGGTCCCACTTGCAAAGAGTATTGGATTAAGCTCCTGAATCTGGACGTGATTTAAGCAAAGATGCAGAAAAGTTCTTCCTCACGCATTTCGATTTTTCGTCCTTCTTTGTCCAGACTCTAAAAGGCCTGCGTTGGTCGGGTAAAACATAAATCTTGGGTTTATGAAAACGCGCGAAGCCATCACTTCGAAAAACAAGTGGTGGCGTTGTGAAGCCTGAATAATGGCACGTGGCATTTTACAGAGTGATTGCCTGATCCCGAATGATGCCACGTGGAACTATTGAGCAATCGATAGCCTGAGAAGGATGAGGCGGCGGCTTCAGGAAGAAGATGGAGAGAGAAGGGAACACTGTGATCGGGATGATGGGGATCGTAAGAATGCTTTTTGATTGATTGATTGATTGGGAGGAGAAAACGCCGACGCGAAGGAGAGGAGTGCGGGGTAGGACTAATAGGATTTGTCTACATTGAGCGCACGCACCTTTCGCGCCCGCGCGCGCGCGCAAGCGAGCGAGCGAGCGAGAGAGAGAGAGAGAGA